ACCCCAAACCCCAACCCCAACCCCAACCCCAACCCCAACCCCAACCCCAACCCCAACCCCAACCCCAACCCCAACCCCAACCCCAACCCCAACCCCTAACCCCGATCCCCAACCTTCTTATATTCCTTTATAGTTATTTAAATATTTTTAGAAAATTAAGCTTATAATTAATATTTATTTTTATATTTTTTTTCATTTCTTTTTAATTTTATCAAGTATTTACTTAATACTTTCAAAATAATCCTTATTAATTCCTATTTAATTTAAATTAAAATTAGTTTATTTATATACTAAATTATTATTAATAAATATTTAAATGTTATTTTAATTTTATAATATATAAAAATATAATATTAAATATAAATTTTTATTTTTTTATATTATTATATTAAAAAATTTGTTGCTAAATATTTATTTCTTTTAGAAATTTATATAATTTATATTTTTTTTTTTAATAAAAAATAAAATAAAGTTAATTTAATATCAGTATTCATAATATCTTTTAATTAATAACTTAATTATAATTTTTTATAAAATGTAATTTGGTAAAAAGTTACTTTCAGAGTTTCCTTTAGATTAAAAATAATTAAATATTAACCATGGAAGCTATGGCGTAGAACCTTTAGTTATTTAATAAAAAAGATAAAAATATATTGAAATGATAAATAAAAATCCTGATTAATGGTATAAAATATAAATATATATATTTTATAAAATATTATATAAAAAAAATCAAAGGTTTCGTTTTAAATTAGAAAATAAAATATAAAAATGTAGATAAACTCTTTCAAATTATATTAATTGTGACCTAGAAGATTTAGTTTTTTCGAGAAATGCCACTACAGCGTTTTCTGACGTATTAAATTCAATAGATTGGAATTAAGATGATATAGTACTACATACAAATATAATTTATGTAAATATTAACAATTAATTGAAATATCTTTCTCAAAAGAGAGGTATAAAACTTATTGAAGTTAATTTAACAAAAGAACTTTTAAATAATCATGATTAACTTTTGGAATTTATTGAATAAATTATTTAGAAAAATAAAAAAATAAAAGCATTTATTTTTGATCATATTTCTTCAGTTCCAGCACTTATATTTCCAGTTCAAAGACTAAGCTTATTATGCAAGGAATATAAAATTATTTCAATTTGTGATGGAGCACATTGTGTTGGTCAAATTAAACTAAATTTGAAAGAGATCGATGTCGATTTTTATTTCTCTAATTTACATAAATGGTTATTTACTCCTCGATCTTTTGCATTTTTATATGTAAATAAAAAAAATTAAAAAAATGCATTCCCAGCAGTAATTGGATATTACTATATATAAAATTCGTTTGCTGAAAAATTTTATTAATAAGGCACTACAGATTTATCTGTTTATCTGACAGTAAGAGACGCATTGGAATACAGAAAACAATTAGGTGAAGAAGAGATAATTAATCATAATAGATAATTAGCTTGGAAGGTTGGACAAATTGTAAAAGATATATGGCAGTCTGAATTATTAATAGATAAAAAGAATTAATTGGTAGTATGATTAACATAGAAATTCCTTTTGAGCTTAAAGATTTAAATTAAATTAACAATGCTTTAAAAGAAATGAATTTCTAATATAACTTTTTTTTTCCTGTATTTAATTTCTAAGATAAATTGTATGCTAGATTTTGTGCTTAAATATATAATGAAGAAAATGACTATGTATTTGCAGCTAAAATATCTCTATAATATTTCTAAAAGATGGCCTTTAAAAATCAGAAACTATGAAATTTATCAAAATTATATAGTTTGCATTATTATAAATGATTTTTTAATTTATAAATAATTATATTTATTTATATGTATTTTATATATATATATATTTTTAATAAAATATTATATATTATATATATCATTATATAATTTATAACAAAATATATATATTTAATAATAAATACAATAAATTATTTTATTACTCATTTATTAATTATTAATTTTTTTAATTTAGCCATGAAATATTTTTTTTTATTTTAGCCATGAAATAATTATTATTTTATATATTATTAAGTGAACATAAAATCAGTAATATAAAAAGATATAAAAAAAAATATTTTATATTTTAAATTTAAAATTAAATATTTTTTATATTTTTCAAAATAATTATAATTATTAAAAATACTTAAAATTTATACAATCATTCTTAAAAAGTATCTGATTCTTAACTTTCTATCTCTTCTCTATTTTTTTACTTATCTTCTGGATTATTATTTTTTTATAAAGGTTACTAAATAATATTATTATTTATTTCATTATTTTAAAATTAATCTTCCTATTATTTATTGTTTTATATTATATTATTTTTTATAAAGAGACTGTCATATTTAAAATGAGAATCAACAAAATTGTTTTAATCATCTTTAATTGTATAAATTTTCTCAAGCTTTAATTTTCTGCAAGATTAGGTTAATTTTATATTTCTTTTTATTTAAATACTTTCATCCTCATCTTATTCTTTTGTTTCTTCGTTTATTTTATCTTAATTATACTAATTAGCATATCTTGCACTTAAAAATCCATTTTTATTTTAGTGTTTTATTTATTTTTATTGTTAAATTTATTAATTTTTAAGAATTAAAAAAGTATGATTTTTATCTATCTGATAGGCTCTTTCTTTTGTAATTGTTAACTCAAGAGGTTATTATATATCCTCTTTTCCTTTAGGAATTTTTTTAAATGTATAAAATTCATTTACTTAACCATTTAATTTAATTAATTCGATAAAAAGTTCATAAAATTATAATTAATTATCTTCATTCATTTATTCATATTCAAAAGACATCTACATTACGCATTAATGCATATAATTATATTAAATAATACAATCTTTTAATATTTCGTATTAAATATCTATTGCAATACTTATATGTTTAAAATTATTTATAATTGCTATAAAGTATTTTTATAAGTTAATCAAAAAATTCAATAAATTATTAATTTTGAATAAAAAAACTGTTTTGATTTAATTTGATTCAATTGACATATCTTATTATTCTTTTTAATTTATACAATGTTAATAAATTTTGTAATTTAAAGAAATTCTCATTAGATAATCGTAATAATTTTTAATTAAATATTCTTCAAGCCAATTATCAATATTTATATAATTTAAAATCGCATTTTTACTTTAGTTAATATTTTCTCTAACATTTGAAGGTTTCTAAGACAAAAACTAATTAGCAAATTCTTCGCCTATTTATTTTATACATATGTGTATCAAATATAAAAATTTTAATCTTCTTTATAATGAAATTTCTGATTAGGCTTATAAGTAAATGAAAAATTCTTATATTTTATTTTATTAGTTTATTTAATTTTATCGAGACAAATAATATATTATTTTATTTAAATAACTTGGGCTTATTTTTTAAAAGTTATCTTTTTAAAATTATGAATTTTATAATATTTATTATAATGAAGGTTAATTATTATTATTATTTTTAAATAATTAAGAGAAAAATTTTTGCATATTATACTTATTTTATTTATTTACAAATATGTCAAGAAGTGTTATATGAGTTATAATTCAGAATATATTTTTATTTTAATAAATTAAAATATTTATTTATTTTTATCAAATTTTTTTTTTTATTTATCTACTTATAAAAGTTATTTATTTAATATTAAATTAAGTTATTTTTATATCATAAATTACCTTAATTAGAAAAAAGGCAAATAATTTGTAAGTAAAATTATAATTAATGTATACATTAAAACAATAATAATAACAAAAATAATTCATATAAAATAAATTAAAAAACATTTTTAATATTAAAAAATATGTTTTTTTTTTTCAAATAATATTTTTAAAATCATAGCTTTAATTAATCAAATTTATTTAAAAAATAAATTATTAATTAAAATATATAAAAAAAAAATTTTAATGAGTATTTAAGTAAATAAATTTGATTTTATAGTTCGTAAAGATTCAATAGAATTAAATAATAATTTAAGTAACATTAGTGTAGATTAAAGTATAATGATAAACACACAAACATAATAAGCATAATTATCAATAATTTCATAAAGCATATTAGATGTAATAACTAAATAATAATGTGAATATGTATTACAATTAGAAAAACAGCTATATTAATTTTTATAAGAATTTGACATTAATGACGAAAGAATTTTTATTTGTTCATACAAAATTGCTTAAATAATATATACTGGTTCGTGTATTTTAATTCGCTAAAATAAGCTAGAACAAGCACAATATAATTTAATATGTACATTATAATTATTAGATCCATTAGATGAATTAAAAAGTAAAAATAAGTAAAATTTAATATGGGAATAAAATTTAGAAATACATTAAATTAGAATAGATATAGGAATATAGTTAGCATTATTATATTCGCAAAAAAAGTAATATTAAGATGGTTTAAATATATTAAATTAAATTGAATAATCAATAAGCTTTGATTTTAAAGATGATGCCAAAAAAAATATAGATAATAACCTATATTTATTATATTATTAATAAGCATAAGTATATTAATAAATTGGTGATTATAAAAATATGTATATTTATTCGAAATTATCTGTCCTTATTATAAATTAATTAATTAATTTAAACAATGATTGCAAAATTTAATAAGTAAAATGTCACTCTTTATATATGATTTCGAAATACTATAAAATGCTTAAACAATTTTAATTAGCTTTCGAAACATGTGAATTAGCCTGCGAAATTTCGAAAAAAATATTTGGTGAAGAAAGTGCCTAAACTAATAAATTTAAATAAAGAATGGGATAACTATAATGGATTTTATAAAAAAAAAAAGAAAAAGGCCAAGATCAAGATTAAAATCAAAATCAAGGTCAAGATAAAGACTAAGTAAACAATAAATAGAAAAAAATTAAAAGTACAATCCAAAATAAAAGACTCACTACTTAAACATAAGAAATATCTGAAAATAAATAAAAGAAAAAATACATTAATATTAACCAAAAAAGAATTCCAAATGACTAAACAAATTTCTATCTGCATCCTAATTATTTATAATAAATATAATAAGAAAAAAAAAGAGATAATACAACAGAATCTTATAGTTGTGGAAGAGTTCCTACTGAAACACCGCTTAAAAATAAATAAGATTATTGTTTATAAGCTAAATTTTTAAAAAGAGGGAGAAAAAGATATACTTAAAGAACTAATTCATAAATTACTTCTATAAATAACGAAGAAACAAAAACTAATAGAAAAACTACTAATTCTAAAAATAATAGTTAGCGACATAGTTAATAAACTACTTATATGAGTGTCTATGTTTAGCGTGATGGAAGTTCTTCAGAATAAATTTCGAGAAATATAATAAATTTTATTGATAGATCAAGAGAAACTAGTAAAAATAGTAATTCTAATAAAGACATAAGTATTTTAAGTAACAAGAAAAAAAAAAGAACTGTTACTACTAAATTTAAACCAGTTTACCTGAATATAAAAAATTTCAAATAAAACTTTGAATAAGAAAGTCAATTAGTTTATGAAAATGATGAAAATTAATAAAATTTTAATTTTAATACAAACATAAATTTAAACCAATAATAAAAAAATGTTAATTTAAGAAGGATTAAATAAACTATTAAAGAAGTTAAAGATTTAAAACCTTAAATAATTAACACTTAAGAAGAAGTAATTAATCCTCAAAAAAAATATGAAAGATTTAAACTTTTAAAACGCAGATAAAAGCTAAATACAAAATCATTTAATGTTTAATAAAAATAATAACTACAAAAATAATTATAATAATCAGAAGTTTAAAATAATTAATATCCTCCACAAATTCGTAAAAGTATGATTTCAAGACCATAAATATAAAATAAAAAAAACAAAAAAAGTGAAAGAAATTAAAGTATAATACTCACTAACATGCTTGCTGAATTAAACTCTTAATCAAACACTCCTGAAAATAGTTAATTTAAACTATAAATTTTAGATACAAATAAGTTTTCATAACAATAAATAGAAGAAGGAGGTGAATTATAAAAAGCAGCAACTTTAACTAATCCTTAAGATCTTTCTTCTCTAGCCATAACACCAAATAATGGTTAGGAATTAAGAAATATAAGTTCTTTATAGAAATTTATTCTTCAAAAATAAGATTCTTATTTTAAATAAAACTCCCCTCCAAATAATTAAAAGAATGAAAAAAGTTTTTTTAGTACATATTGCAATAATACAAGAAAAAGCATATTTTCATTTTCAGGAAACCAACAAATTAGTAAAAAACATGTAGTAGCTTAAAAATAGTAAATGACATTTTTTTAGAAATATCTAAAATAAGAAGAATTATAAAAATCTTTAAACTCTTCAGAATAATAGTTAAGTTAAGTAAATTAATCTATAATATAATGTTTAAATGATATTAAATTTAAATAAAAGCCAAATACCTGTTTTAATTAAAATTTTATCCATTCTATGCTTTTTAAAGACCCGATTTAGTAACATTAAAATAATTAAATTTAAGAAAGAATAATAGCAGCAAAAACCATTTAATGTTGGTGGAGATAATAGCCAGTATCTATTAAAAGAAACTAAGTAAAACTATAATCATTATTTCAAATTAAAAAATAACTAAGCACATAATAAGATTAATAATCATTAAGCAAAAGTTATAATGATATTAAAGCTAACTCAAAAA